TAAAAGTGGACTCAATTTGCACTATTTCTGGCAGTGTGCAACCCCCCACAGAGACTAGTAAAATGTGTTTACAGCATGAACTTTGGCAGAGTATGTCCCATTTTAAAGCACATGCAGAATATACTGGTTAGCCTTTGAGCTGCCACAGGATTCTTCCTTGCTATTTTCAGAGCAAGCCAGCTGTGCTAGGTTCTTGTGGAATTATTAAAGCTAACTAGTTTATTTCAACAGAAGTTGAAAGAAATTGACTGGTGGAATCCACGAAAGCTTAAAACTGATCTTGGAGGTTGCACAAAAGACAAACTAGGCTATACTTGCACTAAATCAGGTTTATCACTGAACAGTAACATCCAAAAGCCACTAAAGAGTGATATCTTTATTTGGACAACCAAAATGAAAGTCAATAAAGGTCTCACACTTTTATGGGATCTGGGGTGTTACCGACATGGCTACTCCGGAATAGGTTTGTCACCATTACCCACGAGATAATAATTCAGTTTTCCTCCCGAGCAGCACCGTCACGGCCTCTTATGCAACCAGACACAACAGGAACCCCAGGAACCTCACCCACCTACTGTGCTTCTCTGGGCACTGAGTGCGAAACACCACCAGCCCTTCTTCCCTCAGTCCCAGCTTCATGCCAAAAACAAGCCCCGCCCCTTTCTCCTCCTGGAACCCTGGGAGAGCGAAGGACCCTCGAGCCCGCCCTCCAAGGAAAGAGAACCCGTTCTATGCAAATATGTCCGGCACGGCCGCCTCTTTCCTGCGTTCTGATTGGTCAAGACTGGCAGCACGAGCCCCTTGGCAGAAATGCAGAAAGCTGTGATTGGCTGGCTTGGGCAAGATGGTCCGGGCCAGCTTCTGCTCACCGTCAACTCTTCTTTCCCAACGCCTGCGGTGTCGTTCAGAGGCCGCTAGAGAGCGCGGAGACAGAGATCTACTTCGGTGCTGCTGCTGCGGTGTGCTACAGCGGCCGCTAGAAGGCGCAGCTGGTCCGGCGCTGTGGTTGCGGTGTCCTTCAGAGCTCCGGAGCTGCTTCGGCGTCGCGGTTGCAGTGTGCTACAGCGTCCGCGAGAGGGCGGAGCTGGCCCGGCGCTGTAGCTGCGGTTCCCACTTCCCTCCTTTTCTTTTCTCAGTGCCTGCTGTGTCCGCTAGAGGGCGCAGCGCCACGGTGCTGCGGCTGCGGTTCCCACCTCCCTCCTCCTCCTCCTCTTCCTTTCCCAATGCCTGCTGTGTCCCCGAGTGGCCACTAGAGGGCGCGGCGCCACAGAGCTGGTGTTGCGCTGCTTCTGCAGCGCCTGCCATCCGCACTTCCTCATCCTCTCGAAAGCCCCTTCCCTGAGCTGCTCCTCTCTCTGCTGGGAGGCTCCCC